TGCTTTTCCTATCATCTTGATCACCACTCCAATCTGAATCAGAATAACCATACACCTTGGCATCCATTCTTATGTTTTATTCATTGGGCATGAGTATTCCATGGTCAGTTGTACCTCTAATGTACCTTAGGATCCTCTTTGGTGCAAGTAGATGACATGACCTTGGTTTATCCATGAATCTACTAACTAATCCCGCACTATGACAAGTATTCATCCTTGTATTGCAAAGATACCTCAATGAGTCTATAGTCTGCTTGTACAAAGTGTTATCCACCAGTTCATCATCTGAATCCTTCTTCGATTTGGTTTTGGTCTCCATAAGTGTAATTGTAAGGTTGAAATTTCTCATATTAAACCTCTTCAAGATGTATTTTGCATATTTATTTTGATGCAGGAAAGCTCCATGCTTAGTGTTCATAATTTCTATTCCTACGAAGTATGCCAAATTTCCTAAATATGACATCTCAAATTCATTCTGCATGTTTTCCTTAAACTTTGCAAATTCATCTTTATTAGATCATGTGACCAATAGATCATCCACATAAATACATAGGATGGTTTGGTCTTGCTCACTTGAGCCTTTCACATATACAATGTGTTCTTCGGTACATTTTTCAGAAACATAGCTTGATTAAGAAGCTATCAATCCTCTTGTTCCAAGCCCTAGGTGCTTGTTTTAATCAATGCAATGTCTTCTTCATTTTTGTACACCAGCCTTTTTATCTCAAAAGTTGGGGTTTGTTTCACATATACTTCTTCCTCTAGAGGTCCATTAAGAAATGCAAACTTCATATTAAGTTGGTGGATGTTCCAACCTTTATAAGTTGTTATGGCCACAACCAGTCTTATAATTTCAAATCTAGCCACATGTACATAGACTTCATTAAAATAAATTTCAGGCTTTTGAAGAAAATCTTTTGCCACTAACCTTCCTTTATACCTCGAAACTTCACCATTTGACTTCACTTAATACTTGTAAACCCATCTTACATCTATTTCATTCTTGCTTGGTTACTTGACCAAATCCCATGTTTGACTATTTTCAATTTCTTTGAGCTCTTCAATAATTGCACCTTGCCAATTCTCATTTTACGTGGCTTGAGCATGATCAATTGGTTCTGAGATAACCATCATGGCTTCTTCAATCAGTTCGCCATCATCTCTTATGGTTTGATCAAGAAATATATCATGATTATTCAATTTGACTGACTGAATTCTAGCTCTGGTTGATCTTCTACTTCTTGAGGTTGCGCAGGCTCAATTTTTACCACTTGTTCATCATCAAGCAAGTAGTTCTGATGTGGATTGAATCTTCACCTTCTTGCGTTAGATTTTCTAGAATTTTTAGCCAATTCATATCGTTCCTTTCATCAAACTCCACATCTATACTAATCACCACTTTGTTCTCAATTGGTGAGAACAACTTGTAAGCACCTGCTGAATGATATCCAACTAGAACCATAGATTGGATTCTATCATCTAACTTTCTTCTAAGTTGTTCAAGAATATATCTAAAACAAATTAGCCAATTTTTTTAAAGTGACAACCACTTGGCTTCAAACCTTACCAAGCTTCATGAGGTGTTTTGTTATTCAACTTCTTTGTTGGACATCTATTAATGATGTACATATCAATTGAAGTGGTCTCACTCCAAAAATGATTTGGCATTTGCTTTTCCTTGAGCATGCTTCTTTCCATGTTCAAGATAATTTTGTTATTTTTCTCAATAGTTCCATTATGATGAGGTTTGTATGGTGTTATAACTTTATGCTCAATCCATTATTTTTCACAAGAAAAAAATGAGCAAATTCAGCTAAGGTGTACTCACCACTGTTGCACCCCAAAATTTATCCTCCTAATTTATTGTTATCTGGCTTAGGATCAGCATTGCATTTCATCTGCATATTTTCATTAGGGCATTTTCATAGCATGAATTCATTTTATAAAACACTTGGTTCAAAAGATTAGTGGGTGTACAAGCTAGGGTTTTCAGTTCCATGGAGGTGTACATACCAAATGAGATTATTTCTTCTGGTTCATTCTGCAAGTAGAGATTTGAGGAATTAAGGTTTGTGATTGTGATCATTGAAGATTTCTTCTTTATTAAGATACAAGGTTCATTTGATTTCATACTTCAAGTCCTATCATCTTCAAGGACTATTTGAGGTGATGATTTTGTCAAGTGAGAGGCCTTTGTGGTTTGAAATACAAGAATGAATCATGGTCCAAGGATGAAATTGTGAGCCATACATTATTGTTTCCTTCATTCATTTGATGCTTAGTGATTTGGATTTGAGATTGAAGTTTGGATTTGAGAATTTAATTAAATTTGTATTCATTGGTGGAAGTATTCATGCAAGTTTTTAATGTGTTCAAGTTAACCAATGTTTCATAAAGGGCAAATAATCCATCTTGGTTTATCTTGAATTTAAAGATTAAGTGGTCATGGCAAAGTAAGACCTGGAATCATTCATACTACATTCGAACTTTACTAAGGATTTTCAAGATAGGCTCATAAAATCAAGTAAGATTCGTTCACCTGAACATTATCATACTACATCCATCGCTTCCTTCAATCTTATGCAAGCTTCACCAAAATGCACTCATGTTCATTCAATTTCCATACAAGGATCCCATTCAATTTTATTCAAAGTACAGAGTTACAAGTTACCCTTTACATTCAACTGAATATTGCAAGATTACACCATTGCAAGTTATAAAGTTGCACAGTGCTTTGCCAAAAATAGTCATGCCATACTTCCAAATATGAAGCATCCTTGCACACACATCCTTAGCCAAACCAATACAGTCTACCAGTTCACACAACCAACCCCTTGTTGTCCAAACAACCCTACAATCATGAAGAAACCGCCCTGCATCAATCTCGAAAAAAACCAAAAGAAGATCACAAAAAAGAACCAGTTTCACTCGGTTCGATAATAGAAAACCAGTTCAGCCAATGCCATTCAGAAAATCAGAAGTTATATATCAGAAAAAGAGGAAATCCAAAAAATTCAAAAATATCAGGAGCAACTGTGAAACTCAGAATAATCAGGACTAACAGCCAATCTTTCTCTCTGAGTTCGATCTTCACCTTCAGAATTTTTTACCAACGTACACCCCTTTTACCAACTAAATCCCAATATACCACACATTTCAACCAATATTCTCACTATACCACCTTTTCAAAAAAAAACTGATATTAGGAGGCTCCGCCCAATGGATGGGCGGATGGTCTTAAAGTTACACAGCTTCCGCCCATTGCATTGGCGGAGCTGTTTGAATAACGTTTTTTTTTTAATAATTTTAAAAATAAATTAAAATTACTATTAAATAAAAAATCAATATATTTGTATAAAATGACTTTGAAATATTTAAATTTAAGTCATTTTAATGAAATTATTAAAATATTAAAATATTAATATACAAATAAATTATTTTTTAATATAATTTTAAAAATAAATTAAAATTACTATTAAATATAAAATCAATATATTTGTATAAAATGACTTTGAAATATTCAAATTTAAGTCATTTTAATGAAATTATTAAAATATTAAAATATTAATATACAAATAAATTACTTTTTAATGTAATTTTAAAAATAAATTAAAATTACTATTAAATAAAAAATCAATATATTTGTATAAAATGACTTTGAAATATTCAAATTTAAGTCATTTTAATGAAATTATTAAAATATTAAAATATTAATATACAAATAAATTATTTTTTAATATAATTTTAAAAATAAATTAAAATTACTATTAAATAAAAAATCAATATATTTGTATAAAATGACTTTGAAATATTCAAATTTAAGTCATTTTAATGAAATTATTAAAATATTAAAATATTAATATACAAATAAATTATTTTTTAATGTAATTTTAAAAATAAATTAAAATTACTATTAAATAAAAAATCAATATATTTGTATAAAATGACTTTGAAATATTCAAATTTAAGTCATTTTAATGAAGTTATTAAAATATTAATATACAAATAAATTATTTTTTAATATAATTTTAAAAATAAATTAAAATTACTATTAAATAAAAATCAATATTAAAATTAATATTTAAAAATAAGTTTAAATTAAAATAAATGTTAATCATAGTAATAAATAAAAACGGTTCTGCCACTGTAATGGCGGACGCTTTTATTATTTAAATACGGTTCCGCCAGTGTAATGGGCGGAGGGTCTTGTTATTTTATTATTGCAGTGCGGCTCCGCCCCTGCAATGGACGGAGGGTTTTATTCATTTTATTATTTTATTATTTATGTACGGTTCCGCCAGTGCAATGGGCGGAAGCTTTCGTTATTTTATTATTTATGTACGGCTCCGCCACTGTAATGGGCGGAGGGTTTTGTTATTTTATTAATTTAAAATTTTTGCTGTGAACTATAAATATCATTGATGTTGAATGATCCTAGCTACACTTAAATTATTTTTCTTTAGTTGTATCTTAAAAATGTCTTCAACATCCGGGGAGTTTCCAACGTTTCCATATATGAAAAGAGACGCAGAACTTATTTTTTCTCCAGTAAAGCCTCCGATGAAGATCAAATTGTTGAACACGCAGACATTTGAGCATCTGCATAGGCACTTGGAGGGATGGTTAGGGGAAGAAATTGCCCAAGGTGAAAAAATCCGGAAAATAGAGAGGTTAGTTACGGTGCCTGGCTTAAATGGACCCACTCGTTCTTGGAGACTTGTTCACAACGACGCATGTGTTCTTATGATGATGCTTCAACAAAAAAATATTATGTTGCTGGTTGTAATATCCTAGAAATGGTTATGTCTTTGTTTGAACATGTTGATGTTGTTTACATTTAATGTTGTTGCTAAGTTCTACTATTCGTCTCAGTATTTTAATTTATGTGTTATTTTTTCGAATTGTTATTTATATTAAATGCAGAAGTATTAGTGAAATGAAACATAATTACTCGGCGTCATTATACATACAACTTTGCAGATTGATAACAAAATGAATAACTAATTATTACTAGTTCCTACATTGGGGCATCGCGTTCGGTTGTGACCTGGAAGACGACACAATGTGCATTTTCTCTCCAACTTATCATATGCGTCCATTTCTGTTGTAATACGGGTGCTCACGGGACGACCTTTCTTGTTCCTCCGTATAACTGGATTATGGAAAATTTGATCTCCCTCGTAAGTGGGCCAATACTCATCGTATGGTAGAACTGGAAAGCCCGTGCTGTAAACCCCAAATAAGTTCGCCACCTTGTAAACGTCAGACAATAAAAGAAATGCGTCTTGGCGCACCACGGAACATGCAGCGATAACATGTGAACAAGGAACACGGTATGCTTGAAACTTTCCGCAGTCACACCATCCTTCCATTAGGTTGACCTTGTAACGCCCCAATGGCTTCCCCTCACCGTGGTTAATTGTCTCCTTCACACTGAAAGTGTTATTATTATAGTCAAAAATGCTTACCTGATGCGTGGCGGATTTTGACGTCTCTTCTTTCATCACCTTCACGCACCGCTCTGTAAATGTTTATCCAGAATTCAAAATTGCACTCCATTTTGCACCCCTTTCAGCAAAGAGTGTTCCCATCCTATAGTATGTTGCACTTACTAACGCTGTGATGGGGAGATTACGAGTGCCTTTAAATACGGAATTTAGTGACTCGACAAGGTTTGTTGTCATGTGCCCTCAACGACGACCCTCATCAAATGCCCTCGTCCATTTTTCAACTGGAATTTTGTCCATCCACCTCAAAGCATCACCATTATCCATCCCAATTTGATTACGATAATATTTAAACGTTGGTTGGTTTAGCGCATACCCTACATGTTAAAAAAAATATTGGTTAATATAATGGTATACTATCAACGAGCATGTAATGTTTGCATAAAAGGTACTTACCCATGTTGATTATTTTTTTCCGGAGGATACGGTCCTTGATATCCTTCATAAAATTTTGCGCAATATGCCTGATACAATACACATGGGTAGATGTAGTGTTATTCCAACCATTCTCAGGATTGTTATAAGCGCTTTCGATAGATGCATGTCGGTCAGAAATCAAACACAAGCCAGGTTGAGGAGCTACATGCATTCTCAAGTTTTTTAGAAAGAAACCCCAACCATCCGCCGTCTCACCTTCCACTAAGGCAAATGCAACTGGGAAAATATTGTTGTTTCCGTCTTGTGCTACATCCATTAGTAGTGTACCTTTGTACCTTCCATATAACCAGGTACCATTAATCTGTAGTAAAGGCTTGCAATATGCAAAGCCACGTATACATGGTTGGAAAGCCCAAAATAGTCGGTGGAAGATTTGTTTCCCAGCAATAACAGTCTCGTCATCTGTATATACCGGTAGTGTTTGCATTTCTACTACAGTGCCTAGAACAAACTTCTTAAGGGCCAACAAGTAATTTGGAAGTTCATTGTATGACTTTTCTCAATTACCAAACACTTTTTTGATTGCTTTGTTTCTAGCAATCCCTGCTTTCTTGTAAGATGGAGTGTATTTGAAAAAAGAGACAATTTCGTTAATACATACACTCACCTTGATAGAGGGATCCTTTTCAACAAGAGGCATTAATCGTTCACTCATCAGTCGAGAGCTTAGTTGTCGATGATCCTGATTAAAGATGGTCGTTGAGCAATTATGTGGGGGCTCCATGATTCCTATCTCCCATAGGTCACTCCTTTTCCTATAGGATGCCACTAGACGAAAGTTGTAACCACTACGCTTACAACAAATTTTATATCTCTTCGTGTCAGAACATGTAACCCTGAAATCAACGACATGTTTCATATGGTACCTGGATATCATAAAGACACAGTCAGATTTGTTTTTGAACTGGTTCCCAACAGCTATGTCATCCTCCAGCGAAAGACGAGGATTTTGGGGCCATTGAAATGATGATTCGTCTCCAGCTGTTTCCAGAGTGGTCATGTGGGCGGGTGGACAATAGACATTCTCAAATGGAATGTGTTGTTCAGTTTCGTTGATTGCATCCGCCTCGTCACGGCCACCGTCTTCAAATAAGGTAGTGAATAAATCATCAGCTTATGACTCAGTCTCTTCTTCTTCGTCATCTTCGACAACGACTTCCTCGGGAATTATGGACACGGGCTCAGCATCATTGGGATTGGCCACTTGTGAGATTTGAGATTGTTGAGAAAGTTTAAATTTTATGTATAAATCTATCGCATGTAACCCAGATGATTCATGGTTGTAAAACATCATTTCCACATCATCATCATCTCGGATTTTCAATGGAACATATTTCACCTAGTTCACACCGAAATTAACAGCATTTCGATATATAATTTATGAGACAGCTCCAGATTGCATCCTTGTTTGTATCCTCTCCCTCAAATATTTAAACTTCGCATTTCTACTTAATTTGAACCGGCATATATCGGTATTTTTGAATATAATGCCCATATCATCAAAGATAAGGATCTCTCCATTCTAATGAGCATCCACTATATATTGAGGTGTTTGAGACATGATGATTTGTTAGTGAACAAGAGCTGAATTGTAGGAAAAATTTGTTTTTGAAATGGGTTGGGTTGATGAAAAATTGTAGGAGGAAGAACTGAATTTAAATGAAACATATTTTGTCTTTAGTAAATATATTATAATAAATAAACGTAGGAATATTTACTGTTTAATGGTCAAACTGATAAAATCAACCCATCTGCCCATTGCAGATGCGGTGGCATTAATTTGTGTAAGGGCTCCGCCCAATGGGAAGGAAGAAGCATTGATGTTCGTATAGGCTCCGCCCATTGCTCCTGCGACATTGACAGGCCAAATAACACGCTTCCGCCCATTAAATATGCGGATGGCAGACCAAAAAGTAACATGTCCGCCCAACGTATCAGTGGCGCGTCAGAAAATGAAAACGGTTCCGCCCATTGAGTAGGCTGATTCTGTAAAGTTGTGCATGCAACACAGTTTACGTACACAGCATGCATGCAAAGTTATTACTCCCAACCATTTAATGGTTTTCATTAAATATTTTGCATAAAACCCTACATTTTTTCTCTATAAATACTATTCGTTTTTTCAAAATTTACATCATACTCAATCTTTATCTGTTCTTTCTCATCATAATTCTACACCAAACTCAATTTTCTATAATGTCTCTGTTAACTTATGGAGTGGAGCATCGAGGAACAATGTCAAACATACTCCAATATCTAAGTATTGAATATATTTACTTATAAATTTTTTAAAATTTTAAGAATATACTTCTGACATTAACCATATTCTAATATTAACTATTTTATTTTTTAGAATGAGAAAAAATTTAGGCCTCGTACACACTCGTATGTGCCCGTAGACGAAATGATATGTCCATATCTGATGCAAGCAGGCTTTGGGCATGTTATCAACATAACTTCATATGGTGTTGATAGGAAATTTATTCTCGCTTTATGTGAAAGATGGCGTCTAGAGACACACACATTCCATCTTCCTACCGGTGAATCCACAGTCACCCTTGAAGATGTCCACATGTTGATGGGTTTACGTGTAAACGGTTTGACAGTGAATGGGAGAACAAATGTTGACTACTCCATAACTCAAGAACTCTTGGGTGAAGAATTTCCAGAAAGAGCTAGAAAGGTACAATTCGTCAAAATTACTTGGCTCCGGGAAATATATGATGCATTTGACTTGAACGAAGATTCCACCATAGAACAAATTCATTAAAAAACTAGAATTTATATTTTATTGTTATTCGCTTGTTTATTATTTCCTGACACGAATGGTAACACAATACATCTAATGTATTTACCATTACTAGTTGACTTTAATAAAATAGGTAGATACAGTTGGAGATCAGCAGTTTTATCGCATCTATACAGAAACCTCTGTAGATGCGCCAAAAAAGATGTTCATAATATGCTGAATCTAGCGCCTAGGAATCGTAATCCTTTTCACTTTCCGTACGCAACCAAGTAAGTTGTAACTACTCCTTTGTCTTAAACTTATTTACTATGTGAACAATATTTAAGTATTACATTTTTTTAGATGGTCTGCCTATGGGATGGATTACGAAAAGACTCCTCATCATTGTGCACCTGGCTATCGGACTTTCATCGATCATTTCGAAGAAGCCGATGTAATATTCTTAACCATATTTTAAGTATTACATATTTTATATAGTTCGTTAAACTAATAACTGATTTTTTAACAGTTTACATGGAGGCCCTATCTAGGACTTGATGATACCGATCCGACCGATAGTCACGTGTGGAGTGCAAAAACATTTATCATCTGTTTTATTACTGTTGAAATTCATCATTCTGATCGGGTAAAACTACAATTTGGCATTAAGCGAGGCATACCGGATGCTCCACAGTGCATGGAGGAGTATCACAAAAGTGTGGTGAATGACCAATGGGCATATAGCAATTGGAAAGATTGTTACAAACAGGAGCGTCGTCAATGGCATAACCGCAAAGATAAAGTCTTACAAGGAGATGTCATGTCAGAAGAATGTAAATCGAGTAAGGAATACATGGAATGGTATAAGTCTGTTACAAATTTGTATCTGTCACCAAACAACTTCTTATATGACCCTCGTAATTTGCCAACATCTTCAAACGTCCAACACACCAGACCATCATCAAGCACTTACACCCAACAACCATTCATGAGCAACCAAGAACCTTTCTTCCCAACACAACCATCTTTTACGCAAAAACCTTTCTTCCCAACACAACCACCTTTTACCCCAAGCCAACAATACCATCAACAAAACCCTTCATCTAACCCCACCCAATGGGGAACCCAACAACAATATCCTTCATCTAACCCCACCCAATGGGGCACCCAACAACAATATCCTTCATCTAACCCCACCCAATGGGGCACCCAACAACAATATCCTTCATCTAACCCCATCCAATGGGGTACCCAACAACAATACTCACATCTTACCCAGTCAACATCAACCAGTCTACCACAAACATTACAAACCCCACACAATCCCAACTATCAGAGACCCCAACAACAAATGCCTATTCCCCGGCCACAACAATTTCCCTCCCAAGATTGTTACCAACCCTCAATAAATATCCCAATGTCTTCTAATCCCATACCAAATTGGAATTGGGAGGGAACCAGATTAAGTTATATCCCAATGTCTTCTAATCCCATACCAAATTGGAATTGGGAGGGAACCAGATTAAGTTATGGCAGTGTAGCCGAGACAGGTTATACCAATGAGGACATGATTGAGGAATTTTTAATGGTCGGGTGTGACGCGGGACCTTCAACTTCAACTCAACCACAAAATGAAGAAGGAAATCGCAGAACAGGCCAACGTACTAGACGAGCACCTGTTTGTGGAACTCACCAACGATTGACACGACCTGGTCAAAATCGACAGTAGATGTCTCTTGGAATTATATAATTTAAAATGAAAAAAAAATTAATTTATGTAATTTAGTGAAATTTTTGTTTATTTATAGTATATTTTATTTAATTATAGTGTATTTTGTTTAATTATAATGTATATTATTTAATTATATCAATTTAATTTAGAAAAAAAAAATCACGGTTGCACACATCCGCCCATTCAATGGGCGGACCCTCTCTATTATTAACAGCATCCGCCCAATGCAGATGTGGAATGAAGAAAAATTGCACTCCTCCGCCCATTGTATTGGCGGATGAGTTGTGGCAAAAAAAAAAATTTGTTTAAAAAGAGGGTAGATTGGGATTAATGAATCTAGGAGATGGTATATTGAGATTTAGTTGGTAAAAAGAGCGTGTGTTGGTAAAAAATTCTCACCTTCATCTTTTTTGAACCTCCAGCATCATCTTCATCGCACAACTCTGCAAGAAACTTCAAGCATCGTCTCTGAATCAAGCTTATTTTGCACATTTGTCCCTCACGTTTCATCATCATCATCTCTCAGGTTTAATTAGATTCGCCTCAGCTTTTGATCATCTTCATCTTTATCACGTAAACGCGACAACGTTTCTTCAACAACAACGATTTCATCATCAGCTTTATCTTCGATCCGTTTCCCTGCAACAAATCTGCATAGCTTTCAACGTAATAATAACACAACTCAAGGTGCATCGCTGAAACGCAAAAATTGTGAAGTAGAAGAAGAAGAGAGTGAAAGCATAAGAACGTACCTGAGTTCTCTGCGACAAATCCACGGGTTCTCGTCGACTCTGGCATCTTTTAAGAAGCACCGGACTTCTCTGGTAGGTAATCCTTGAAACTCGTTTCAATCTTCAATGTCCTACGTCGCTTTCTGCATCTCTGTGTGAAGGAATCCACGGTATGTGTGCGTTGTTGAAAGAATTGACACCGTAAGATGCACGCGTTTCAGTGTTCTTTTCACCTATTTGTTTTTTTGTTTTACTTTAATAAATCTGAAATGCTTAATAATTGAGACAATATTGTGAAGGTAATTTGATGGTAGAATTGTTACTGGACCGAAATTACAGCCCTCTAGGCCCATCACGATTTATTTTTGTGAAGCCTGAAGTAATTGAAACAAAAAAGGTGTTGGACTCTATCTGGTTGGGCCTTGTGCCAATTTATGCATCACAGACCTGGATTCAGCACATACTCCTCTATTTTAGAGTTTAATTTTATTTTCCGCATTAATTTTTCTTTTTCATGATTTTTAATGATAAAAATGATACAAAAATAGTAGAATATATTAGAATTATTTAGGATTTCTCTTTATATTTAATTAGAGTTTTCTATTATCTTTTTCATGATTAGTAATCATTTTGTTGTCATGTTTTTTTATTCTAAGAGTTTGTGATGGTATTGATGCAACTTTGGTGATGTGGAATGTTTGGATGATCACTTGTGAGAAGCTTCTATAGAGTTTTCTTATCGCTTGTGTGGCTTTGAAGAGTCAACAGACCTTCTCTGTTAGGTACCACTTGGATCTCTTTTATCTCTT